GCTTTGCTGGATCTGTAGGTTCTCTGTGTTAGTTGGAATAACTCTGTTTTGATTAAGAGGTCCGCTATGCGTTAGAAAGGCCCTTTTCTGGAATGGAAGGCACTGTTTTGGAATGGGAAGGTATGTGTATGGATGGAGAAGCCCATGGATTAACCTGATTATAAAGTCGACGCTTTGTCACTAGGATATTAAGGCACGCAGTAATTTGCTGACGGGGAAACGTGCCTCCGGTGTTTCTCTTGCATACGTCAATGCCCAGGAGCCCCTCCCCATGTAAGGAGCTCGTCTGGAAAATCCCGTCCCATGCCCGTCTCAAAATATGTAGCTCCCGTCATTTAATTTCATGCCCCCCCCCCCCACACACACACTCGCTGAAAGGTTCTTAATGGCAACATGTCAGGAGGTTTTAGCGTATTGAAGAATACCTTACGTCCTAGGCCAATCCGCATCGCATCGGAGCGCATTGACAGTCGCGGGGTTCTCTTTTCGAAACAATTGCCATTGCGCCCCGATTCAGACAGCGCACAGGTAAAATAGGTATGAACTATACCAGGTATAAACTACGTATATTCAGTTAGCCGTGCACGCATAGTCAAATTCAGACGACTCAGCCATCCCCCGCCTCCAGAGGACGGCGAAAAAACTGCTGACTCATCTTGACGTCCGGTGGAAGCAGGATGTAGAGCAACTGTACAGCTGCCCGCGAGCGGAAGCGCTTCTCACCGACGTCATTTCTCAATGGGGTCCTGCAGCAGCCTCGTGACTCACTGGGGAGCGCTGTCCCGCTCACCCTGAAGCAGGCGATCACTGGCGCCGGCTCTCCGTGCCGATGGGCACCTCGTGTGCAGGACCCACCATGCTCAGGGCCAGTACTTGTTAGGACTGTGGCCAGTCCAGTGCGGCACATACGGTGTCCGATGATGACTCGCGCGCCAAAAATAAGAAACGCTGTTAACCTAAGGGGTCGTGCATAGCTTACGTTGCGCATGGAGGGAGGAGAGGGGCTTTGATGGAATGTAGCCGAAGAGTAACAAGGAGGAAAGGAATGGAAGGCGTAATGAAACGCTCAGGTGCAGTTACAAATCATGTTAAGTCTTCTTGAAGCGTTTTGAAACAAATACCGATAACGCTGGCTTGCCCTCATGACAAACAACACGCCCAACTTTGGTAGTTATCAAGTAATGTATTGACGGCCCCATCCAAGTTATGCCTTGACTTATTTCTATGCATTTGCAAACACCACCTGACCCGCAAGGTAACGAGAAACAGATTTAAGGACAACTTCAGGAGCTGGCTTCGAACGTGCGGGGCGGGGGCATCACCTTCGTGTCGTTCGTATTCTGCACGTTATAGTGTACCCGTAAATATTTGCCATTGGCAAAAGCTCTGAACAAGGTCGGTCCCAGGCCTAAAACAGGCATCGGGCCAAAGCCTGAAAGACCCATGCTGTTGGCAAGCAGCCATGAGTCTGAGTTCGCAGCCATGAGTCTGAGTTCACAGCCATGAGTCTGGGTTCACAGCCATGAGTCTGGGTTCGCAGCCATGAGTCTGGGTTCGCAGCCATGAGTCTGAGTTCACAGCCATGAGTCTGAGTTCACAGACATGAGTCTGGGTTCGCAGCCAAGAGTCTGGGTTCATCCCGAGCTTACACGGGACGAACCCAGACTCACTACAAATCGTCCATCGAGGTTACACGGTATATGAACGCGGCGGTGCACAACGAGCCACTTGGTGTCGAGCCGATAAATTCACAGCTTCCATAAGAGTACATTATGGTCAATTAAAGGTTCTGGAACGGTCAGAGAAGTCACATTCCATTCGTAAAAAAGGCAGTGGTCTCCAGGAAAAAGAGTGAATCGATGTCAACAGTCACGCACGTGCACTCGTACACAAATAATAGACTTGACATTTTGGAAGCGTTCTACAGGATTGATGTCAGATCTTGGCGACACAATCAGATAACGCCACGAGCACGATTGCCCCCCCCCCCCCCGCAAGCGTACGTAACGTCCCCACATTACTTAGTCAGCCCACACAGCCCGACGGCGGCTGAACATACAGGTTATGAAGTCTGCCAGTCACAAGTCAGTCAGTTTGAAGTCAGTCACAAAGTCACCAATGTTTTGTTGCCGAAAACAACCTCGAATGCAGCACGCTGTCGCCGAACTGAGCAAGCGGGGGCGATGAAATTGGCACGCATATGAAGCTCAGTCACCCAGCCTATTTGCGCAGTTCGCAAGACCTTGACAGCAATCATTAAAAGCGTTCATAGCGCTGCAGAACTCCCCGTTTTCGTATGTGGAACATGCGCCACGGTGCCGTACAGTCCACGGTGCCATACAGTCCACGGTGCCATACAGTCCACGGTGCCGACTGCGAGTTGGTACAAAGTCGCAAGCTAGCACCAGAGTGCCCCCGAACTGCGGATATTTAGTGATGCCACTGCGGGTTTATGCGAAGCCAATGATTCTTATCACACCACTACAATAGTGCTGGGATCCGTTCCAGTGTGCAGCCTGTCACGTGCTTTCAAGCGTTGCAGTTGGATTGGCCAATGGCCTTGCTATATCGTCTTTATCACCTATCAGCGTGTCGCGTACTTACATATTAACACAGTAGACGAGACCGATCACCGGACAAGTCAAGATAGTCCATCCGCGATGTTGATATCTCTTCTCGATCCCTCCGTAAAGCAACACGGAAGCTGCATAAAGCTCACACAAAATGCTCTTAAAATTATCAACACCGTTGGAACTTGAGGTAGCGAACTACCTCAAAATCACTGAGGACACCTGCAAACATATAAATTTAGTATAATAACAAATATAACAACAAAAAATACGCATCGCGCAACGCTGGCCTCCTAAAGAAGTTGCCTCCCGGGGTGGAAACAGTGCTACATCTTTGCCCGTAAGGACGTGTTTGGCAGCGATCACCAGCGCGGTCACCAGCGCGGTCACCGATGTGGTCACCAGCGCGGTCACCGATGCGGTCACCAGCGCGGTCACCAGCGGCGACCAGTGACGCGGACGGAAGTCGTGCTGGAAAGGTGATACGAAATGGTCGTATCAGAATGCGTGACAGAGCTGTGGCTGAACGACTCATCCCAGCGCCTTGGCAAATCGTAGCATGGTGGGTACCGGCCGATACGAACGGTTGGATCGATCGGAGGGATCTGAAGACAGGATAGACTGTTGCGTGTTCCGACCGGGAAAGTCGCGCTGGGTTGTGCAGGGATGATGATGGGGAGGATAGCATCACCAAAAGTAAGGAAGCAAGTCTTGAGCACTGAACGAACACGAATGCACGAATGCAGAGGTCGTCAGACCCACTTGCAGCAAAGTCGCGCGTGCTGAAGAGCGTGCCCCGCCGCATGTTTAAGCCAATGGACCGAACTTCAAAGTCGGAGGCTTCTGTGCGAGAACGTGTCAGCTGGCACCGGAAGTCGGTCCCGTTCGCGCGCTACTCTGGAGCCCATAGAGACGGACAGGCCGTTAGGTCTGCTCAGCTTAGCTCGCCTTTAGAGATCACCGGTGACGTCATACGACCTGTCTTCTTACAATCTACCGGGGTGAAAACACTGCACCAAACTATGGTTGGGCTGCGCGGTCTCATTCCCTTCATGACGTCATACGACCCGTCTTTTCGCAACCTACCGGAGTGAGAACGTTGCGCCAAACTGTGATTGTGCTACGCCACCACTCTCGGTTCGTGACGTCACCACAGGTATCATTTCACATGGCAGAATTCACAGTGTGATGTAAATTGAGCTGTTCGTGCATTTGACGCGCCCTTAAAACCCCATAACAACTAAGTTATGCTCTACACCTGATTCTCGCCCACACCTTCCCAATGCCCCACGACTTGCTTGCATCCGGCTTGCAATCTTGTTTGCAACGTAAGAATCAACAAGGCAAGATATGTGACCAGACATGAACAAAAACAAACGCCTGACACGTGGACGCAGGTAAATGTAGAACAACGTGTATTTTTCGGAGGACCCGGTCACGTGACCACGGGCATCCCGTGACGGAGACAGGCAGCTGAGGCGACACTCAGGAGCAGCTCAAGTGCTACAAATAAGGCTGGCAGAGAAGCGACGGGACAACCGAATATAAATTTAACGACAGATAAGGCAGTAGTATTAGCCTTATTCCTCAGAAAGACCAGGAAAATGAAAATATAGTTTTTCTGCTTTTGTTTCGATAAGGGCATGTGGCCAAAACATCAACCAAATTATATCTCCATTCTCCCGTTTTTTTCCGAGGAATAAGGCCAATACTACTGTCTTATCTACGTGAATAATGTTCCTCGCTAATGCACTGAACAGCTTCCGTAGATTTAACAATGATGAATACGATGTAACAAAAAAGGATGACTGCCGGATATGTGAAGTGTTAGGTTAACAGCATCGAAATTTCATCTGCACCAAATGTGGTTACACTTTAAAGCCTGATGTCGTTAGTTCCCTCCAATCACGAACGACACATGCACCCTTGTTCCGCACCTCTAGCTCGAAAAAGGGCCAGACCGACGTTATATTTCCGTGATGGTATGCTAAACATAGTGTACCCATGAGGTGGGAGCGATTTCGCTCAGCGTAACCAGTGCGTAACGAAGGGAAGGGGGTTGAAAATGTCCACCGAAGCGTGACGTAATTTTTGAACGTCTCCTTCTGGCTACGAGCACCACCGGCCGATTTACACCCGTGGACTGTGGGGGCGGCATAGCACCTCCGCCCACCAGTCCCCTTACGTCACTTTACGGCATGCATGTCAGAGACTCATCACTTTCCTGCAACTAAACCGGTTATGTGGCCCGGCTGCTCCCGCGCCAGCCCCCTCTCGTATTCCCCCGACAGGAAGGTCGGGTTTCCCATTCATCCCGGCCGGGCGGTCGTCCGTGGCGGCCCGGCGGGCGTCATCACAATTGCGGCTTCATTCGTCCTAATTCCGGTTCGTTGGTGCGGGCGCGGCCGGCCGGCACACCCACCGCCGTGGTCTGCGTGGAGTGGCACGGTACAGGAGGCGCGACGCCAGCGTGGTGGAGCCGCCGGGGGCAGAGGACGACAGCCGCCAGCATGGAGGTGAGGACGGGCTGTAGTCAGCTCGAGATATCTCTCGAACGTGTTTGACACCAGAAACAGGTAGATGGACTTCGCGTGCATTTCGCTGTCTTTGAGCCTCTGGCATGGCTGATTTCCTGAGGTGCATCGTACAAAATGAGCCGTTTTGCTCTTTCTGGGTGTTGATCTCACACGCTGGTGCCCGTATCCTTTTTCGCAATTTACATGATTCAATAGATGTCTGGTGCGACGCACATGGTGCCCAGGCCCCGCGGGAGATATCTGAGCCCCGCGGGTGATATCTATCCCAAAAATGCGAAATTAGTCACAACCTGACCGATTACTGACCTCGCTGGCGGCCGGAACGGTGATGCGATGACTCGGTGTTTTGGAGACGGCACAGTCACCCGCATCATGCAGTCGACTTCACGCCGTTATCTTGTCTGGTTATCGATATATGTAATCAGTCCGCCACGCCACAAAACTGGGAGGCTTCTGGTTTGCGCCAAGCACGCATGACGCGCAGCGCATGTTAGCGGACACTTTTGCGATTTGTTAATCTTGCATATCCCATAATCGTCGAGCGGGATGGGTAAGATTTGGATGACGTCGACGGAAAATAGGGCTTGAACAACCGTGCAAACACGATTTGAATATAGCCGCAAACCTTCAGAAACATTGCACCATTGCACAACAAAACTGCCCGCGCTGTGCATGCAGATATCCCACTAGGCTGGTCATACAGAGCCGCTGAAGGTACGAGCTCGGCCTTCGACCTCGCCCTTGATGGCAAAGAGCCCAGTATCACTTCGATCCAAACTGTCGAAGATAGGCTGCTGGGTTAGGAGCCTATCTTGGACAGTTTGAATCGAAGTGATACTAGTCAGTCACAGTGCCGTTCCGCCCTTAAACAGTCACGCTTTCGAGACCATTCATGTTGAGCTTAGCAAATGCCAAGAGATTGCTAGGCGAAGCAACGACGTAAGTCGTCGACTGGTCTGCAGCCGGAGAGTCACTGGCATTACAAGACCAACATGCTTCACAGTTCAGCCCCCAAGGCTCACGGCGCCCGGCTAGATGCGCATAACCTATCGACAATGCGCCGCTCGTCCTCTTGGGTTGAACAAATTAGATACAGTGGGTCAACCAGATTTTACTTCTGCACGATCCTGTGTTCCGCCACGGGCCAAATGACTTTCGGAGATTTTCCGGTTAGATGAAAAGTTAGACTGAGGCGAACGCATATTAAAGATACTGCAAAGAATCTGGGGGTGTATTTGACACTACGCTGTACTTGTGGGATTTGTCTCGGTCTGGTCTATCTTATAAGCGTAAAACGTTCAGAACACTGTCGTCTCAGAAGTTGTCACTCACCTGACAGAAATGTAAGACCTTTCAAGCGTTCACTCACACGTTCTGCCCACAGTGGAACAGGAGCGTGTGGGAGTTTTACCTGGTCGTCGTTTAATTCCTCAAAAGTGGTAGTTTCCTTTTCAGGTTGTTGGGTTCCAGCCCCCCCCCCCCCCCTCAACTTGGCTTCGCCCAAATTTAAGAAGGAAATAGAACAAATCCGAGGAAAATTCGTTTCTTGGCGCATTTTGAGGGTTGGTTGTCATTTGTCAGTACCCAGACCCCCACCTTCATCCCAACCCATTTTGCAAAACCACGCCCCGTTCACCAACGAAACATTAATGCGAGGGTAAAAGTGATGAGGGTGGCGAAACCGCATCAAAGTCCACTGTCGCGACAAATGCCTCCGCGTAGACCGCAGTTCGTCCACGGTAACAATCGTTCCGCGAATTGTTGTGACCGTGGAATTTAGAAAGCCTCTTTTCTTCGCAAACATGACTATTTTAACGAATCTATCAACTAGGGCAATACTAAAACACATCTTAAATACATTTGTGCACGGTTTATTATTATCGATGGGACAGTATCCTAACATATAGACTAGGGCCAGAAACCGCTGTAAAATATATTTTCTTCGTTTGTTTACCGTTGTGTGCAGGATTGTCTGTTCCGCGTTCTGCTTGTATTATTTGACGCGACGTGTTATACAAAACCTCTGTGTACACCTGGCCAATAAGGTGAGGCGCTGGCTGGAAGCGGTGGCCGCTTAGGTAAACTTATCTCTGTCGCCGATTCCCATGGGTAAAATTCATCTGGTATAATAGCTTACTTAGGGTGCAGTGTATTGGTACCCTCTAGATCTGATAAAAATTTGCTGCACGTACTGTTTTCTGAACCACCAAAATAATGATGAGGTTTGGATGGAATTATAGGGTTAAATCCAAAGGAAGGCCAACCAAGCCATGCCCCACCATAAAATGGCCCAATTTGGAGAAGATTGAGATTGGCTGTAACATGGAAAAGTCAGTATCTATGTGTTAGGAATTAAAAGTGGCAGCAGTGATGAGTTGCAAAATTAAGGCACCTCTTTGGGATTTACATAAAACATGGGGCTTTGTATCATTCCTTGATGGGCCTGATGAGGTGTTTTGCTAAAATGATAGGTGAGTTAGTTTATTAGTAGTACAGCTGTGTTCAAATTTTGCACCAACTGGCCACACTGTAAAATGTGAGCTCCAAATCTTTGTACAATTGTGTGACCTCTCCTGCCTTTACCATCTTATTCCATTTTTTGGGAAGTGTTTAGCAATAATTAAATTAGAATGATGTAGTTAACCAGGTGAGATCAGCACCATACACCACCACCACATTATTTGTGGTACCATGATCACCACCACAGCTTTCCAGTGCATTTGAGCTGCATAGAAAACAGGTCCTGTTCATATGGGAGCTTTTGGTATCTAACATTTTGTGTGGTATTCCTTGTATTTGTAAGATAATGTGAAATTCATAGATATGATGGTAAAGTTATTATGTGAGCAACCAAAACAAGGTTTTATATATAATGAATAAGATGTAATGTGAAATATGCTAAATTATTCAATAGAACAGAGAAAAATGACCCAATTTAATAGCCTTGTGACACAATATAAATATGTTATTAGGTGACTTTGAGACTTGAAGCTTTTGCTTCTCATAGCAGTGGCACCATTAGTCTATTTTTTCACCATTTAACTTTCACCACTTGGCACCACATCATTTAACCAATACTTCCTGGTGCATTTAAGTTTGATAAGTTAGCATAAGAACTCAGGACTTGTAACAAAGCTTGGTGATACATTTTTGCTAGTTTGTGTCTGATTTATGAGGTGGTCATGCTAGATGTGGGTCACACCATATACATGCAGTGTATCTAAACACCAGGAATTCAAGACATTTTCATCATGGAAGTATGTTTCAAGTTATAAAAACAAGGTGCGAGCCTCAGAGATATTTATATTTGTGCATGGTTGATGGGCAGCTACAATCTAACTGTCTCCATGACAACCCAAATGGAAGTTTGGACCAAAAATACAGGCTTGCACACATCTATGTCATGTTGTGCTTGCTGGCTAAGCATTCTGCTAAGGGTGACAACATGACATAGTTTGCAGCCTGCAAAGTTAGTGTCAACTGCTATGGACTCTGGCACTGTCCATTGTTTGTTAGTTTGTTGATATTGGCAGGGATGCAGTATGACATTGCATTTGAACAGGGTTTTACAAATGGAAAAAGACAGCAGTGGCTCCTAGGCTCTGCCACAGCCACCGCTGGTGGGCCAGATGGAGTGTGGCTGGCAGCAGTAGTTCAGGCATTTCGCTGGCCTGCCCTCACCACCGCTGGCTGGGCTGCAGGGGATGGCCCCAGACTGGGATTAGGGACTGCCTCAGACTGGGACACGCTGAATGGGTCGGCTGATGGCAGCTCCTGTTGAGGGTGTGCTCCTCCCCTCTGCCGCAGTCGCCACTGATAGGTCTGCTGTCTGTGGCCATGGTGGCGCTGGCTAAGGGCGCGCTCCTCCCCTCTGCCGCAGTCGCCGCTGATGGGGCTGCTGGGGGTGGTCGTGGCGGCGCTGGCTGAAGGCGTGCTCCTCCCCTCTGCCGCAGTCGCCACTGATGGGGCTGCTGGGGGTGGTCGTGGCGGCACTGGCTGAGAACGCTCTCCTCCCCTCTGCCGCAGTCGCCGCTGATGGGGCTGCTGGGGGTGGCCATGGTGGCGCTGGCTAAGGACGCTCTCCTCCCCTCTGCCGCAGTCGCCACTGATGGGGCTGCTGGGGGTGGTCGTGGCGGCACTGGCTGAGGATGCTCTCCTCCCCTCTGCCGCAGTCGCCACTGATGGGGCTGCTGGGGGTGGTCGTGGCGGCGCTGGCTGAGGGCGCGCTCCTCCCCTCTGCCGCAGTCGCCGCTGATGGGGCTGCTGGGGGTGGCCATGGTGGCGCTGGCTAAGGACGCTCTCCTCCCCTCTGCCGCAGTCGCCGCTGATGGGGCTGCTGGGGGTGGCCGTGGCAGCGCTGGCTAAGGGCGCGCTTCTCCCCTCTGCCGCAGTCGCCACTGATGGGGCTGCTGGGGGTGGCGGTGGCGGCGCTGCTGTACCATGCCTGCGTCACAGCTCAGGCAGGCGCCCACGAGCAGTGCTACGCCGAGGTGCCGGAACCCTACGACCACCTCGCCACCAAGACGCCGTACTATGTGGTCCAGAACAACAACGACAGCGAGGAGGTGTTCCCAGGTGAGCGACACAGAGTGCTTGCTTGTGGATGCTTTTATGTTGTCATGAGTAATTTATATATATATTATATATATATATATATATATATATATATATATGTAGTTTTTATATAATGCAATAAAATATATATATATATATATATAATATAAAAACACTGGTCACCCCTCGGTGTAAGCCGGGCGATTAATTGTGTGGATAGTTTCCAGTGGCAGGAATCGAACCCCGGATCTCCTGATCTGGAAACCGACACATTAACTGTGATCAGCAGTCTAGGGATTGTGCTGGTCAGGTGCCGTACATCGCGAAGATGAAAGGTACACGTACTCCGGCTTTCTTTCATCTCGTCTTCAGTCTCAGGACCCGACAAGCGATGAATACGTAACTGAACAGCACTGAACTGAACAGCACGTTCTGTTTTGTGTACAGCTTGCCACCACGGTTGAAGAAGTGGGGCTGTTTTGGCAGCCATAAATGGAAATTGCTATATAAAGTCGTCACCAGTGGAGGAAGAAGGCCGTTCTGTTCTGTTCGACATCATACCCTTCCATATCGCTCGCTACCTAGCTCAGGTACTGAGCGGTCCGTATTCCCTGGTATTTTCGACTTTACATGGCCACGGTTTACGTGACGGTGTGGTGCCAACAACTTTGAATAGAGAGAACTTGTGCGGACAAACAACCGGTGGGGATGGTATTTGTATGGCACGTGTTAGGCATCATGCATTTTGACGCTGCACGCATAGATGGTTCGGTGTTGGGTATTCGATTCTCAGCAATGGGGCACAATCAACACACTGCTATGCATGCCGGTGTCTACGCTCGCGTGCAGCACATTTTTTAAAAATCGTTCCATTAATAAACAATTATCTTGGCCCAAATCAATAACTTCTTACCGCTCGCAAATGCCTGCACGCTACATGCACCACCGCGATGATGACCAGCGCGGTTCCCGTGACGCCGCTGCTGACAACGCGCCGCATGGCTGCACGTGGGAGCAGCGGCCCATTTGTGGTGGGCGGAGGAATGTTCCCTCCCCCGCCCCCTGTGTCACATCGTTGATGTCACGCGGCAGGGGAAAGCGCCCGCGGCTATCGAGCGGTGATGGGATGAGGTGGCCGAGTTTAGCGGTGCAGTGCTGAGAAGTCACTTGACGCCTGTCGCGGGCGGGGACTCCGGCGAGTGGGTGGGACGCCGCTCCCTTTGAAGGTTGTGGGTGTGTTTAAGGGTGCTACGACCCCGTGCTGATGGCGATTTGTTTTGTGTTTGTGTGTCGTGTTGGCGCCTGTCACCAGCATCACTTCTCCTCATCACTTCTCACCACAGTGTCTGGCCGTGCCCGTACGGGTGTCGGTCAGTGCACTGACGCCCCCCTCACCCCTGCCCGCAGTGTGCCGGTCAGTTCACTGACGCCCCCCCCCCCCCACCCCTGCCTGTAGGGTTTTGGCCTGTTCACTGACGCCCCCTCACCCCTGCCCGTAGGATGTCGGCCTGCTCACTGACGCCCCCTCACTCCTGTCCGTAGGGTGTCGGCCTGTCCACTGACACCCCTCACTCCTGCCCGCAGTGTGCCGGTCAGTTCACTGACGCCCCCACCCCTGCCCGTAGGGTGTCGGCCTGCTCACTGACGCCCCCTCACCCCTGCCCATAGGGTGTCGGTCAGTGCACTGACGCCCCCTCACCCCTGCCCGCAGGGCCTCGGTCAGTTCACTGACGCCCCCTCACCCCGTGCCCGCAGGGTGTCGGCCTGTTCACTGACGCTCCCTCACCCCTGCCCGTAGGGTGTCGGCCGGCTCAGTTCTGGCTGACGGCCCGCCACGGCACGCGCTACCCGGGAGACGACGACATCATCCACATGGACCGCCGGCTGCCGCTGCTGCAGCAACACATCCTCCGCAACTACGCCGCCGGCCGCAGTCAGTTTATTTAAATTTTACATTTGTTATCTGTTTCTCTCTTCACATTCTTCTTTCACGTTCTTTCACTTGTTGCTCGATTAGATTGATGTAGTCCATAACGCCACCGGAGCGCGCAATCCATGCGGGTAAATAAAATTTGAAAAAAACATAGTAAAACAGTGGGAAAGTGACACCCCAGCTCTCCGACGACTCCGCCGTTATTTGTTGCATCCGTTTAGATATCGTCACGCGTCAGTTCGCGGCTTAAGTACCGCTGCAACGAGAAACCTCTCGTCGCTTCGCGTGCTTCCTCTCGCTCCTTTTCGGGACATGCAATCTGTTTTCATGTTGCACTGCGATCGCAGCGGCTCGTTTTCTATCGGCTCACATTTCAGACAAATTAACACACTTCATGTGAGTGTGAACGCGTACGTGCGTACGTATGCGTGCGTGTGTGCGTCCGTGCGTTCGTGGGTATGTGCGTATGTGCGTGCGTGCGTGCGTGCGTGCGTGCGCGCCGCTCGTGTGTGCGCCGTTGGACACGTTCCAAGCGTCCCCCGTGTTCGCCCAGGTGTGTGTGCGTCCGTGCGTGCGTGTGTGCGTGCGTGCGTGCGTGTGAGCGCCTCTCCACCACCCCACCGTCCGCCCTCCCCCCGCGCAGGTAAGCTGTGCGCCCTGGACCTGGACAACATCCGCGAGTGGCACCAGGCGTTCGACCGCAGCATGGAGAACCAGCTGACCGAGTCGGGCGAGCACGAGCTGTTCCACATGGCGAAGCGCTTCCAGAAGCGCTTCCCCACGCTGCTCGGGGCGCCCTACGACCCCGACAAGCACAAGGTCAGTGGAGGACACCATCGGTCACTTGAGGTCACCGGGGGTCATCACAAGTCACCGGAGGTCACAGTTTATCGACGGAGGTCGCCGGGGATCACCTCAGGTCACCCGGAGTTCACTAGGGGTCGGGCACGCGCCTCACTGCGAGCACAGCAATAACGCGCAGTTTACCACTGTGTCATCACACTTCCTCACCAGCCGCATGACACCAGTGTTGACCCTGCCGATCACGCGTGCGCGGGCGCGCGCTGCAGCGTGGTGACCGAGCTGATGCCGTGTCGGCAGTTCCTGACGACCACCAAGCAGCGGGCGATGCAGAGCGGCCGCTGGTTCGCACGCGGCCTGTTCGGCGACCAGCCGGTCATCTTCCCCAAGCCGAAGACGAACGACCCGCTGCTGCAGGTCAGCCCGGGCGGGGTCAGGTCGGGTCACGGGACGCCGCCGGTCGGACTAGGCGCAGTGCCGGGTCGCGTCCCTGGCGTGTTTTGCGTGTGCGCTCCTGCGGTGGCACTGGCGAGTCCAGCTGACGTGAGTTAGGCTGCCTCTGAAGACATCTTGTAATACAGCCTGCCCCGCCTTCCTGCTGTCAGTGGGTGCAGTGGCCGAGTGGTCAGCGCCATCGACTCCCATGGGAGGACCTGGGTTCGAGTCCCGGTCACAGCATGGCCCCCGGGCGCTGATACGATCGTTGCAGTCGCTGTCGCTGCCTAGAGGGGGCATGACGATGCGTGTTGCGTTCTCTTGAAAAACCTTTCGCTGGCCATTAGTTACTTGGTCCTAATGGTAGACAACTGACTAAACTTTCCCTTAGTCACCATCTGTAGCATGAGGATGATGATTGAGGCTTAGGGATACGCCGACGGCCTAGGCCATTTCGCGCGTGACGCGACGTTCCGCCAGCGGGACGCCGCCGCGCCGCCTGGGGTGTGAGCCCGGTCCGTGCGCCGCCAGTTCTACAAGACCTGCGACAAGTGGCGGGAGCTGATCGACGACAGTGAGGACTCGCGCCGCGAACGCTATGCCTTCCAGAACTCGTCCCACATGCTCAGCACCATCTCCGGCGTGTCCGACCGACTCGGATTCGTCGGCAACATGTCCTACGGTGGGTGACGTTAGTGGATGACTACGTCAGAGGATGGTGCGTGGGCAGTCGCAGGCTGTCGTAGGCTGTCGTAGTTTTTATGAGGAATTTGGTCGCATTACGTGTTGGCTGGTGTGGTGTGATTGTGGCCCAGGTGAACACAGTTTGTGTCGTTTTGACAGACCTTTCAGCCGAAATTTTTTGGCGGTGTTTTTCCACAGCGTGTACTCTGAATGACGGCGAGGCTTTCGCTGTCCAGAGCTCCGTGGTCCGGCCCGGTGACCTGACCCTCTGACCTGACCTGACCTGACCTGAAGACCCGGCGCATTATCCCGCCTGAGCGGGATGAACCAGCAACCTGCTCTGACCTAAGGACCTGCCGCAGCAGTGTGACGTGACAGCATGACCCAGGGGCGCACCGTGACCTGACCACGGGCCACGGTAACCTGGCGCCTTTGCTGAGTGACCTGCGGTGTTATTGCCTCGGATCTGGATCCAGATCCGATGTAATCGGATAGCATCAGGTGGCCATTGCCGGTCCGGCCAGACACATTGGCGTTGATAAGACAGTAGTGTTAGGCTTATTCCTCGGAGAAAAACCAGGAGAATGTAGAAATAGATTGGTTGATATTTCAGCAACATACCTGTATCGAAACAATTGCGGAGGTAAATACAAAATCACTTCTGCTATTGTTTCGATAAAGACATGCTACTGAAATAACAACCAATCTGTTTCTCCACTCTCCTGATTCTCCTCCGAGGAGAAGACTATTACTACTGCCTTATCTATGTGAATAATGCTCCTCGCGAATGCACTGAGCAACTTACACTGGCGTTGCATGAGCGTCGTATCTCTCCGACCCGGTGATGGTCCCAGTTCCCGCATGTCTTGAGGATAACTTCGCCGGTCCGTGGAGGTGACATCACGTGACGTGTGTGTGTGTGTGTGCGGCAGCGGACGTGCGGCTGATGTACGACATCTGCCGGTACGACAAGAGCGCCTTCCCGGACCGGGTGTCGCCCTGGTGCGCCGTCTTCACCGAGCTGGACATGAAGGTACGACGGCCCCTGCAGCAGGCTGGACCGCGGGAGTGGGCGCCATGGGCTTCTCTGGTGGAGGATTGGTGGGAATCAGATCGAAAATTTGGGTTGGGGCGCTGTGTGGCGACCACACCGCACGTGTGCGTTTCGTGGCATGTGCTGGGAAACGAGGACTCATTTCACGACTGCACACTTCCAGCCTGAAATGCCGCCTGTCTTTACACCGCGTGAGTTGTCATAGTTAGTTGGGCGATAATCCCACGACACCGACAGCCGGGGAGGAGCAGTGGAGATGCCCCCCGTGGGAGCCCCCGTAGGGGAGCCGTGTGACCGGCGCCGCAGGCAGGGCGCCCTCTGTGGGTCCCCAGCACGTGCGGCCGGGCGTGACCAATCGATTGTCAAGATACTGGTGCGCGCAGCGCCCGCGCATGCGCGGATATAGAACTCGGCGGCCGAGTTAAAAAGTTGGTTTCACGCCGCTCACGAGAACTGTAGCTTCACCGGCGATTATTGCATGGTGGGTTCATGCATGGCGACGGTCCATGGCCAGTGTAATCGTGCCTGTTTGTGCAGCGTGTAAAGTGGCGAAACGCTGATAGGAGATGAAGACGTGGTGTAGCCACGTTGGATCACCACCGCGGAGCATCATTTGAAACTTACTCCTTCCAACGGCTAGCCAGGTGTTAGCGGTGTTGCTGTGTTGGACGGCGGGCCAATGCTGCAGCAGGCAGCGGGTCCGTGCTGTGGCGCTACCCCTCATGCCATTGACAGTCGCCACGTGACGCGGCAGGTGTTCGAGTTTGACAACGACCTCGAGTACTACTGGGTGGACAGCTACGGCAATCGTCTCAATTACGAACAGGCCTGTCCCAAGGTGAAGGACTTCATCGATAAGTTCAGGTCAGTGCATTGCGTTGCAGTACGGTTAGCGTGTAGTGTTCTATGTTCTCTACTTGACAAGATCCTTGTTCGCGAACGTTTATTGTAGATACTCAGTGTTCTGCATGCTGAGGAATCCTACTTGTACGTAGTTTTCTAGCGTGCTCTGACGTCGTGCTCTGTGCAGAAGCGATCTGTGCGACAAGGAAGGGAAGCAATTAGGATTACGCCCTAACCTAACAGCTATGCAGTTACCACACACAAAAACCGCTTTCAACACCTCTGCTGTTCATCACGCTCGCAAACAGGCGGTGGAGGCACTCACCGACTATGAAATGACACCCCTGCGTCCTTGCCTGTCTGATGTCCCGCTGTCGTCATGCGAGTCATGCTTCTGATGTCTGACGCCTGGCGACGGGAGGTCTGCACCTGTGGGCCGGCTATACCGGTCTTGAGGGTGCAGCGTGGGAGCCTGTGAGCGTGTTGCTGCTGGGAGCCAATGTCGGGTAGCTGGGGGTTCGCGTCACCACGCTGCTGGGGCTCCCACGCTTAAGAAGCGGGCTGAGCTGGACACCGCCTGGTGGACCAAATGCTTGAATATATTGTGGCATTAGTTATAAGGCTGTCATGCAATTCGACTGCGACAGTTTTAACGTAAGAGTGCAATTTCGCCGCAGACGTTGGCATGGTTTTCATGATTATATTTTATGTTGGTACGTGAGCGTTCCAGGGTTTTTGCGTGCGTAGGAAACCTGGCACCGCTATCCCTGCGTTTTGTTGACAAAAGCACTTCGATGCCCGCCAGCCGCATTCTTCATAACTCCAGATTCTTGCTGGTCTAAAATAATATTCACTCAACGTGTTGTGAACCGGCGTCAAAGCACTGTTCAGATGCGGCCAGCGGGCCAGGACTGTCCGTGATGTGGGTCAAGGCCTGATGCTGCCACTGCGCTCTGGTGGGCTTTCTATGACGTCATGCCCGCGCATGCGCAGTGCGGTCGGCTCCAGCCCCGAGCGGCAGCCGCTGGCGCACCTCTACTTCTCCCACCTGGGCGGCGTGCTCAAGTTCATCACCCGGCTCGGCATCTTCAACGAGTCGCGCCCGCTGCGCAGCGGCGACTTCGGCACCGCGCGCGCCTTCAGGTGAGAGCCGCTCTGAAGCGGCGCCGCCTGCCGGCTGGCCGGGACAGCATGGCGACCGGGGTCCTGGCTGACCGGGACAGCATGGCGACCGGGGTCCCAGCTGGCCGGGACAGCATGGCGACCGGGGGTCCCGGCTGACCGGGACAGCATGGCGACCGGGGTCCCAGCTGGTCGTGACAGCATGGCGACCGGGGTCCCAGCTGGCGGGGACAGCATGGCGACCGGGGGTCCCCGCTGGCCGGGACAGTATGGCGACCGGGGGTCCCAGCTGGCCGGGACAGCATGGCGACCGGGGTCCCAGCTGGCCGGGACAGCACGGCGACCGGGGTCCCAGCTGGCCGGGACAGCACGGCGACCGGGGTTCCAGCTGGCCGGGACAGCATGGCGACCGGGGGTCCCAGCTGGCCGGGACAGCACGGCGACCGGGGTCCCAGCTGGCCGGGACAGCACGGCGACCGGGGTCCCAGCTGGCCGGGACAGCATGGCGACCGGGGGTCTCGGCTGACCGGGACAGGACGGCGACCGTCGGCCACCTGCCCTGAGGCGACGATTGGATGGCTCAAACGTCGCCAGCCCCGCAGGTCGCTAAATCTTTCGCAGCGTCGGAGGATAGAATGAACCCCCTGCCAGTGTCATTCTTGGTATCCGGTAGCACAGCTATAAAAACGGCGTTGGCTCCGAATCCCGTGCACGTGCTTTCAGCCATTTAGTAACGTCTTTTGCTGTTGACCTGCCGTGTCGGGCAAAGCGCGACTCAGCTATGACATTTAGCGCTTTGCATGTATGGACGGAGTAAAGCCGATAAAAACATCTCACTCCACCATTCACCTTCAGTAAGCAGTGCTGCTCCCCGTGAAAGGGTTGCTAGCAGAGCACCCCTGAGAGTAAGTGTTGGCTCGTTGAATGTGGCTTGGTCTCCACGTTCTCTATCTCGGGACGTGGATCCGTTGCATCTCCACCATTGGGGATATTAAAACAAGCTCCGTGCAGAAGCAAACCAAATCCGCCTCGGGGTATTGAAAGGAGTGAGAACATGAGAGCCATCCCAGAAGCAACGCTCGCACTTTCGATCTACCAGTTACAGCTCTCGGATGTGAACTGCCTGTCTCAGTTACGGCTTTATATTCTGAGCAACCCATCGTCTTCGTGAACAAACAAGCCCTACGATTTCTGTCCCCTGATGTTTGGATATGACGCCTGTTGGCCTTTAGCCCTCCTTCTCTGTAAGTGACTTCCACCAAGCGTGCTCGGTCGCTGACTCCGTCCCGCCCGTCCGCCAGCTCCTCCTATCTCTCGGCCTTCGCCTCGAACGTGGCGCTGGTGCTGTTCGAGTGCGGCGACGGCTACCACGTGTCGGCGTACGTGCAGGAGCACCCCACCCGGCTGCCCGGCTGCCCGGGGCAGCTGTGCCCCCTGGAGCGGCTCGTCAGCCAGTACCGGGACGTGGTGGACGGCTGTGATCTGACCACCATGTGCGCCAGCGGCGGCTGGCTGGCCACCATGTGGAAGACGCTGGTCTGGGGTCTGCCGGCGCTGTCCGTCCTAGTCTGATGCGGCCGGCGCCGGGCCGGGCGACGGCCGAGGGGGATCAACTGCGTAGTGACTGCGCTGGGCCGGGCGACGGTTGAGGGCGATCAACTGTGTGGTGACCGCGCCGGGCCGGGCGACGGCCAGGGGGGATCAGCTGCGTGGTGACCGCGCCGGGTCGGGCGACGGCTGAGGGAGGATCAACCGCTTAGTGACCGCGCCTGGCCGGGCGGCAGCCGAGGGGATCAACTGCGTAGTGACGCATGTGTGCGGATGGGTTATGTAGGGTGTGTGGGCGGTTGATGTGGGAGTGTGTGGGCGGGGGATTTGGGAGTGTAAACAGGTGATGTGGGAGTGTGAGCGGGTGATGTCGGAGTGTGAGCGTGATGTGGGAGCGTGCGAGGCGATTCATGATGCTGACGGCCTCAGCAGGAACGGCGTCGTTAGTCAATCGTACCCGTTACTTGGGTACGAAAAGCCTGTGAGGGGAATGTTTAGGGTTTTAGTACGTCAAAAGTATGTATCGAATGGAGTGTTTCTCTCAAAGCGAAGTGCCTTAGCTGAAGCCGTCTGCAGGGCTTTGGTATCTGCAGGTTTTAGTGTGACTGATATTTCGTTGTTGAATTGCCATGCCGTAGGTGATGACAAAATCAAATATTTTTAGATCGGCCAAGAAAAAGTCGTCCAAGTGCATTGATATGAGTGTGTAGAGAAATGATCTGAGATCTGCCTTGATATATGCATGTTTTAGTCGCGTGACGCTCGCTGATTTTGACCCTTGAGCTATACAAAACAGTGTTCTAGCTTATAATGTACACCCTGCTCCACCTGGCAACGGGGCGTTACATTTTCATGTCACGATCCGAGCGACGAGTGCCCGGTAACCCATTTTGAGCGGTGGTCTCCCGGGAAGTGCGTGGAAGGGTTTTCACAGATGGGGCCACAGGGAGGGTAGACCACAGTTTTTTTTCGAAGCATTTGCAGAAATGGTTCGAGAAGTGCCCGTGTAAGTAAGCGCACTGGAAATCAAAAGGCTCTGCTTCGGTGAAGGGGATGTGTTGATCTGTTGTCTTCCGTGGGGAGAAGTTCAGACGGGCTTCACGCTAAATATATATCGTAAGTTGTGATAGGGGAAATCTTAATTTTCCCTTGGTGTTGACGCTCTTAAGTGTGCCAGCGTAGGGCACCGTAGCCACTGCGTGTCTCGCCAAGCATCCACTTACTCGTCGGCGATGGTCACAAAAAGGATTCCAAAGTGATAGCGTTTCGTGAGCTTCGTGAGTCATGGGTGTGCTTGCCAGTGCAACCAACAAATACAATACTCGGGCACTAACAGATGTTCATACTTGTGTTTAATACCGCTTCAGCGGAATCGATTCCAGCTGACTCGCACCGTGTCTGATCCGACTAAAAAAAGACCAGGTCTGGGACGGATTCCAATGGGCTGTATTTCTGTGACGACAGCGTGAAAGATTACCCGATTTATGACCCTCGTTGAGGCGTTGACGGGGCATTTATTCTGATCACAATGCAGTTGTATATGATTATGTTCCATCCTGCGCACACATTAGCTGTCACGCTGTGAACACATCCTGTTGTTTACATCCCCACGTCCGTGTTCGACCCGGATATCGCCGAGAAGCATGCACAATTGACTCGAGAACTCGGAGGTGGTCTTCTTTTCGCAATGAATGACACGGCTGTCATGCGAGACGGAAGAAACTGGGACAGCTAGCTGAGCGGGGTGGCTGGCTACCGATTACATTCGTATAAATTTTCGGCCCAAGCTGAAGGTTCTGTCCAATCATATCGTAGATATGCATTCGTCTTCGTTCCCAAACGAACATACCTTCATAGAACGTGCGGGAGATGACTACAGGACACCAAACGCAACAATTGTAGCATATTCCCCTTGATCTGCACTAATTTCCAGTTCATGCATTTACTCTAGTACAGCTTCCTGCCACTGAACGAACTGTTACTTGGGCTCTGACGTCACCGAGAAGCCACCCCCCGCTCTGAGGTCACACGAACGTGCTTATCCCTCTCACAACGTCACATGGAGACACCCGAATGGACGTCAGCTGCGTGAGATCCTGCTGGCTCAAACTCCAATCATCTCGTGTTCATCACAGACGGGGCCATGTCGTAAACTCGTGTATTCACTGCTGGCCACATGTGTGAGGCCCCGTGAGGCGACGCTCGAACGGCAGCCGGGATTCTAGCGATCGACTGGAATATTAAACACGTGACAGCGTACAGCCATGATGTCTCGGGCGCTTAGCCAGTTCACCACCAGCTGTAGCATAGTGCGCTTCAGCGCGATGCACCTTTTCAGCATCTTTTGATGCTTCTGGCACCAGGATGCGATGCTTGCAAGCTTCAGCGCTTCGGGGCCAGGGCTCATGCCAGGCGTTGCCTCCTGACCTGATGTCAAGAGCCGCCGTCCAAGCGGATGTCAGACGTTCAGGAGCAGGGTCCCGGTGTCATGACTGACCAGGATCCCGGCGTCAGGACTGTTCAGGATACCGGTGGCAGGACTGATCAGGATCCCGGCGTCAGGACTAACCAGGATTCCAGCGTCGGTAATGATCAGGATCCCGGCGTCGGGACTGATCAGGATCCCGGCGTCAGGACTGATCAGGATCCCGACGTCGGGACCGATCAGGACCCCGGCGTCAGGACTAACCAGGATTCTAGCGTCGTGACTGATCAGTCTTGCGTCGACACTTCCCGGCAAAATTCCAGACCCGTCGTCCCCGCAACAGAACCACATCACTCCACAATGGCCAACCCGCAGTTCAGCTTCCGCCCTCGCCGCTGTCGGCTGGGCGGTGCCCGCGTGGGCCCCTTACGGACCCCGGACGGTCCCTGGTAGACCCGCAGGGACCCGGGCAGGCCCCGGCGGACCCGCGGCTGTCGGACGCGGCTCGGACCGCGAGTCCCACGGCGCACCGGCTCGAGCCGGGACTCCCCACAATGCACGGACGGAGATGATAAGGCTTCTGAACCACACACAGGACTCAGCGGGTGCTGTGAGCGTTCAGGGGTACAGTCAGAGGTGCGCAGGCCTGGGGCAGTCCCCAGCTATCACGAGGTGGCAAGGTACAAACCTATAGCTGGCGGCCCTTTCACTAGGCCGCTGTGTGATATTTGTCATATTTGTGACATAAGGTACCACGTGCTTTATTTTCTACGGTGGCTATTGTTCTCAGTAGTCGGACAAATCAGCTACACATTGCAGGCTTTCATTATAATCTGGGTTTCTTTTTCAACCTTGTGGTAGTGTGCCGAAGTGGTTAAAGTAGTGAGCGAAAGCAGGGAGCGCAAACAAAGTATGACGCATTATTTACACCTTAGAGAGATCAGCTAATCTAACAATACAAGATGATATAGAAAAACTACAGAAGTCACGCAGCAGTCAAAACAAGGTCACAACGCCGTCGGTGCGTCATTGTCAACCAGTTAAGGCTAAGGGTTAGCGACTGTTTGCGAGAACTTCGCGCCCTCTCCCACACTCCCTCCAGTGCAAATCAAGCATTATACACCACTTATAACTACGCCCACACGTTCTGGGCGAGGTGCACAGATAAAGTCCACATCCTCTAACAAATCTGATGCGAACGCGCCCTGCCGCTGTGTCTCCACCTGATCCCACCACTTGAAGCCGGGATGCGGCTGCTCCGGCCATTGGATGCCCTGCCTGATCTGAGTAGATGACCCGCCTTATCTGATTATATGTCCTGTCTGGTCCGAGTAGATGACCTACCTGGTCTGATTAGATGACCTGCCTGATCTGATTAGATGACCTGCTTGATCTGATTAGATGACCTTCCTGATCTGATTAGATGACCTGCCTGATCTGATTAGATGACCTGCCTGATCTGATTAGACGACCTGCCCTGCCCACAACCCCTGGACAGCTCGGGTAAGGGAATGGCTCGAGCTTAAGTGAGAGACTGCTTGTGGCAGAATCCAACCTGGTGGCAGGGGGTGTAGCCTACGACGGGTGTGGATCCCATCTTTGATTAGCATGTGTTTTGCTGGCCATCCTCCTTTGCTCCCCACCCATCCTGAGTTCCAATCTTACTCTACAGAGGGAGAAAGAGAACTCCACCTATCTGGATTTCTTTCCTCCTCCTCCTTCTCCAGTCTCTACATGTTTTGGGCTTCCTTCCTCCTACGGCCCTTTTGTTTGGACGCTTTCTCCCTTCTCAAGCCCTCTCGACCCGTCGTGCGTCTTTGCCGACGTCTCTGGCGCAGCTGTCGCCTCCTGCTTCTGACCCTCCACCTTCGGATGAACTGCGTCGGGGGACTTCGATTCGTCCTTCTGCTTCTTCTCTCCCTCGTCTCTGCCCTTTTTCTTTTCGTTCTCATCCTCCCCGTCCTTCCGCTTCTCCTCCTTCTCTCCCGCGCCCTTTTGCTCTTCCCCCTTCTCCGCGACGTCGTCCTCCACCGGCAGCGGCTTCAGGCCGATGGCAATCCCAGCTCCGAACCAGGCGTCGATCCGCACGTCCCTGTCCTCGACGCCGTCCCATTCGGACAGGACGGGGTCGCGCTCGGGGTCGTCCTCATCGACGGCGTGCGGCTCCGCCTCCTTCCCGCCCCTCCGCGCCTTCTCCATCTCCGCCGCCACCTTGGCACGCAGACTGTGGTGCTGCAGCGTGTCCTGCGGGGCGGGAGCGCCCGAGGCGTGGGTCAGAGCCGGTCTGTGATGCTGAAGCGTGTCCTGCGGGGCGGGAGCGCCCGAGGCGTGGGTCAGAGCCGGTCTGTGATGCTGCAGCGTGTCCTGCGGGGCGGGAGCGCCCGAGGCGTGGGTCAGAGCCGGTCTGTGATGCTGCAGCGTGTCCCGCAGGGCGGGAGCGCCCGAGGCGTGGGTCAGAGCCGGTCTGTGATGCTGCAGCGTGTCCCGCAGGGCGGGAGCACCCGGACGGTGGCACGGAGTCGAGGCCGGACGGTGGCACGGACGGAAGAGTCCGTGGATGTGGCGTGTAGCGCGTGAAGGGCGGCACGGGAGAAGTCTGTCCAGCTAGGTGGGAAGCACCTCCCGGCACAGCGCCAAGGTGTCTTCTGCAGCAGCGCGTGGGGTGCGCGTGGGCACAGCCCAGATCGTACAAGCGTATACATGACATCAAGTATATCATAGTGCAGCGCGGTGCTCTGCAGGACGTGGCATGAGAAGCCAGGCAAAGACACAGACAGACGCAGGACAAAGACAGTACGGCACGTGACCCGCCAGTAGATTCAGTTCTGGGGTGAATTCGAGACATTAAGCCCGGCAATGCGCCCTCTCTTTTCTGGATCTGGACGTGGGATTTCTCATCAATTCTACCGTGACAGCTCGCATTGAATGTCGAGTCACCGTTGTGCTCAGTGGCCCTCCGCTGTGGTGTGGCGCTCATTATTTCCCGGGGTCCTGCAGAGGGATCTAGGAATTTCTCCCGGTGTTGTGCGGAGAGAACTAGGATTGTCTCCCGGGTTATGCGGCGGGATCTAGGAATGTCTCCCGGTGTTGTGCGGAGAGAACTAGGATTGTCTCCCGGGTTATGCGGCGGGATCTAGGAATGTCTCCCGGTGTTCTGCGGAGGGATCTAGGAATGTCTCCCGGTGTTTTGCGGCGGGATCTAGGAATATGTCCCGGGTTCTGCGAAGGGATTTAGGAATGTCTCCAAGGGTTCTGCGGAGGGATCTAGGGATTTCTCGCGGGGTTCTGCGGAGAGATCTAGGAATGTATCCCAGGGTTTACGGCCAGCATCCAGGAATATCTCCAGTGGTCTTAGTGACCCGGTCCGCAGCGAAAACCAGTCACACTCACCATCAACAACTCCTTCAGTGGGATCCAGTCGAGTTCGAAAAGACTGTGGATGTAGTCGGCGAAGAGGCTGGAGTCGGCGCGCTGCATTCGCAGGGCCTCGGAGCTGTTGAAGAAAGTGCTGACGGCGCGGCCGACCCAGCTGCGGAGGGCACCCTGCTGCTCGCGGCGCACCAGCGCCCGCCACATCAGCTTCTCCAGCACGTCACGCGGGATTGTGACCTGTAGGACAGGGCTGACGTCACATGTCCACGGCTCCGCCATGTGACGTCACGAGTCAGGCTCTCCGCACGTCAAGAGGCATCACGTGTTGCGCTGCTTGGTGTCCCTCCAAGCACGAATGACATCATAACAGGAGCGACTGACGTCACACACGAATGACGTCATACTGAGAGTGACTAACGCTACACATGGATGGCGTTGTAATGAGGCGACTGACGTCACACCAGACGTGCGGCGTGTCGTGCAGCGCGATCGTCTGTAGGCTACGACCGATGTTACGGCGAGCGCAAGTGACGCTTCATGACACCGCAGCAGTTTTCCCCACGCGTTTCTTGGAACCGACACGTCAAGGGAACGAGTGTCTCCACAGCTCACAACGAGCGCAACTGGTGTTTGACGTCATTGAACTCTGGTGTTTGACGCCATTGCAATGAACATGACTGACGCCACAGCAATCACAGCTGTTGCCATAACTGGCGCGACTGTCGTCAAAGCAGAAGCCAACTGACGTCACCACGGGAGCCAACTGGCGTTACACTTGAGTCGACCGTCGTCATAGCATTTTTAAATACATGATCCAAACCATTGGAAACAATGGATTTCTAAAATCTGAGCTCACGCTAAGCACTGTTCGTTGCGTGAAAACTGACCAGTACCATCCGACTGTGCAATGTCAGGCCAAAGGCGAAATAGTGGCGAAAATTTCGCGTGTCGCAGTGCTCGACACGATACGTCCTGCCTTCTGACGTCACCTGACCTTTAGCGCAACCGCTGCCGCCGGGCGCAGGCACGAGACAGACTTAAGTGCACTGCGAGACGGAACGGCTTAAAGTACAGTTCAGGGGGCGCGTAACCCGAGCCTGACTGTCGTCACGACTCGAGCTCTGCTGACGTCACGCAGAGGACGACTGACGTCGCACTGAGCCATATGACGTCACATTGGCACGCTGACGTCACACCAGCGTTTCCAGTGCCTTCCGCGACACAGCCGTGCGCTACAGCCTGCCAACATGTCCTGCAGGGATTTGGTGCTCATCTGATGCAGGGAAGACGTCTTCCCTAGGGTGGTGATCAGGTTGATGTCCTGCAGAGATCTGGTGCTCACCTCATGCAGGACAGACATCTTTCCCCAGGTCGGTGAGCAGGTTGATGTCCTGCGGAGATCTGGTGCTTACCTTGTGCGGGACAGACGTCTTCTCCAGGTCGGTGAGCTTGAGATCTGTTGCTCACCTCATGCAGGACAGACGTCTTCCCCAGGTCGGTGAGCAGGTTGATGTCCTGCGGAGATCTGGTGCTTACCTTGTGCGGGACAGACGTCTTCTCCAGGTCGGTGAGCTTGAGATCTGTTGCTCACCTCATGCAGGACAGACGTCTTCCCCAGGTTGGTGAGCACGTCGATGAGGGGCGCCATGGCGTGCCCGCCGCGCTCGTGGTACTCGGCCCCCAGCTTCGAGAGCCAGGTGGAGTTGGAGAGGTGCTCGGCGACGGCCGAGAGCAGTTGCGGAGGCACCAGGAACTCGTGGATGTGTGGGATGCTCTGGCGGCAGTGGGAGACGTGGAGAGACTGTTGTAGCTCATGCGTTTGCGAAAGGCAGAAGAGTTCTTGTCCAGGATTGTCGTACTGCGCTAGTTCGCAAGTTGGCTTAGATTCACCTATGGTTAAATTAGGTGAGACATGATTACAAATCAGGGTTTGGCCCGAGTCTCATGACCCTAGAATCTGAACTCGAGTCCTAGTGTCCGAGTCGAAGTCCGAGTTCGGCCGAGTCATCCGAACTCAGGTCAGTCATTCCCTCGGCCAGCACAACTGAACAGTTTCGATCCAGATATCCCGGTCCCCGCATAGGCACGTTCTCGAAGACTCCAGGACTCCAAATAAATACATGACTAGTACATGCCATTTGTCAGAGAACTAAAACAGCAATCCTAGAAGCAACGGAAAGTGATGAGGGATAAAAACATTCAAACACACGCCTACACGAACAGCATCAGACAAACCTATCGCATAAAGGACGACTTGGCAGCACGCTCAAAACCTGTCGTATCCAGCCAACTCAAGTCTACGGGCAACTCATTCAGAAAACAGTCCGACCGGTATGGGAAAGACCGCTGTCCTGTCGCCGCGCGCAACACCGGGAGGCGCAGGTTCGGATCCCTGTGGGAAGAGCGATCCCAGATCCGCGCGTCGGCGTTTGTCCGACGCCAACAGGCAAGATCCACAGGTTCACCTCGCTCGCGGGCTTAGTGCGTAGCGACAACAGCTCGCGTTTCGCACGCTTGGCGAGGCGCGGCAAGGTGCAGGCTTTTGGCGACGCTTCCCGCTCTTGGTGACGCCCCCCGCTTTTGGCGACGCCTCCCGGTTTTGGCGACGCTCCCCGTTCTTGGCGACGCTTCCCGTTTTTTTGGTGACTCTTCTCGCTTTTGGTGACGCTTCCCAGCATCGGCTGGTGTCAACCGTGAGACATCGGCAATACGACGGGCACTGGACACTGGGACACTGGACACCGGGACAGCGTCGGCTACAGCTCCCTCTACGGCACCGCCGGGGCACGGCTCGTGCGGCGAGTGGCTGAGTACAGAGCACAAACTTCGCCTGTAGGCGAACTCTCGGCCTGAACTGAACTGAACTGAGCTGAAAAGGCCTGAACTTTCGTCCGTGGTCCACGGCACTTCGTGGCGAGGCGAGCAGTGGTGGCGTCGCGGTTGTTGTGACGTCATAACTGCGGCGACGCCACAGCTCTTGCACGGACGTCGGATCGAACGCACAGCCCGGAGGGCTTGGGTGAGCTGCGCTGTCTGATCCCATCCTTGCAGCGATTGGGGCCAAACAACATGCTCACAAAATTTGACTTTTTGACTCCATTGTTGGCAGTGACATCCCCACTGCTTGGCATATTCCCGATTATGAAAACCGCTTTAGGTACGATTGTCCCCATGTCCGGATTTGTGTCCCGAGTATCTGGGACAGGGCACGTCCACGTGGATCACGCTCGGTAGACACCGTCGGCAGGCCGGCACGCGCCAGCTCATTCTTACCAGCAGCTTAGTGCGGTTGGCAGCGTCCGCCTTGCTCAGCAGCTCCATGAAGGCGCGGAACTTGTCCCAGTACTCCTGACTGGCGATCTGTCCCTGCGCGTCGGCCTTCAGCACGGTCTCCACTGGCGAGAGGCTCGAAAATCAGGGCGGTTGGACTCTTCCGTGGAGTCCTCCGATGCGAGGGTCAGTCTCAAGGGAAGAGGGCCTACAGGAAACTTTGCATCTCTAGAGGGTGTTACCCCGCCCCTGGTCTCACCACCTTAAACTGAGCCCGGAGCACTGAGTGCCAATTAACTAAGATGCCAACAAAAGAAAAATGAAACATTCAAAAGGTAATGCTGGCAAGTTTATCGCCAGCTATTTGCAGCCTCTCCGAGATGTTGAAAGCTGGCCTGTGCTCTGACGCTGTGACCTTGGCTCCCTTGGCTCCCATCGGAAAGTGCACGCACGTGACACGTCCAACGCGGAGCGAGTACACGTGGAAAGACGCCATGTTGCAGTGGTTAGGTGCCATTAGCCGTGAAATGCGAACCTTAGATACGGAGCGGACGACCACGGTGGAAAGGACGACTCCACGGAGGTGAATGCGGTACGGCGCAACGCAGAGGAATGCGTTCAGTGGAAGTTCGTGACTTGATTAGAGAGTGAGTGAGGGAGCTCAGACCTGTCCACTGGAGTCGTACGGGCTCAGTCACGGCAGGCTTGCGTTCAGTGGAAGTTCGTGACTGGATAAGAGAGTGAGTGAGGGATCTCAAACCTGTCCACTGGAGTCGTACGGGCTCAGTCACCGTAGGCTTGCGTTCAGTGAAAGTTCGTGACTCGATTAGAGAGTGAGTGAGGCATCTCAAACCTGTCCACTGGAGTCGTACGGGCTAAGTCACGGTAGGCTTGCGGGTAATACAATGGGACATATAAGTTACGGATACCACCAACACATATGCCAATCACAGACATATTGATCGCGCTCCTTGAACCTAAGTGATTGAAGAGACGCATCGTAACACCATGCTACATTGCTTCTAGCATGCTTATAGGTACGCGACCAATGATCTACATTAGCTTGTTGTGTAAGGCGAGGCCTCAGCATGTCAGTAACGTCAAGTGACTAAGCCTTTAGAAATGCTTAATTAACTTGCAAAGTTTGCAAGCGGTAGGCTCTCTGTAGTAAGACGAGACACGTCAGATATCACCATAAAGTTTGTCAACCAGAAACCGCTTCAAAGACAACCGTACATCACTGGGGCTCAAAATCGAGTCAAACTGTAATAAACACTATTTGTTCAATGGAAACCGGCCTCAAAACAGCACGCACACGCCAGGGCATGGCACGCGCATCCACTGACATCATTAAAGCCGTGGTTTTTGACAGCAACGTTTCAACTACTTCGCAGCAAAACCAATTAAAACGTTCTGGACAAGCTACGCACTTCCAGTAACAGACATTGACACGTAGAGGGGTCCTTTGGCCTTATTGACCTTGTGGCCTTGTGGCCTTAAAAGACCCGTGTGGCCTATTATGTGGCATAGCATCACATTTCCTCTGTACAGGAAGACGAGCGCCGAACGCTGCCTGTCATCAGCACAACAGGCAGAGTCGCCCGGCACCGGTCCGCCTCTCACCGGTGATGTTGAAGGCCAGCGTCGGAGCCAGCAGCAGCTGGAGCAGAAGCAGACGGCAGAGGAGACCGGCCATCGTCTCAGGCCGTCCGAAACCGGACAAACAGCGGCGAACCCCGACCAGGTCACGGGTCCCGCCCCGGAGGCCGACTCCCCGACTCCGCGCTGGTCGACCTCGAGAGGCAGGCGTCCCGAACCGACTCTCGACTCAAACCCGACTCCCGAGCAGCCCGAGCCGACTCTCGACTCAGACCCGACTCTCGAAAAGCCCGGACCGACGTCCCCGACTACGGTCAGCAGTCGACTCAGGCGGCTCGGACAGGACGTGCGTGCTCGGCCCGACGAGACGCGGGTAAGCTGCCCCCAGACTCGGCCGCCTGCTCCAGACTGAACCCTGCTACCGACCGGCAGGTGGCGACGACCCGCGCAGCCGCGTTCGCCGGCGCTGCCGCGGCCGCCCGCCGCCGGCGTCCTGTCGCCGGTCTCTCCGCCGCCGGGGGCGCTGCCTCCCGGATCCTCCGGCGAACAATGCGGCCGTCAGATTTCACGGTCGTGCCGGCGGCTCGGCTCACCGGAACAGGGCCGGCGATGGCGTCCCAGCCAGCGGGATCAGGCCAGACGGGACCTGCTCTGGTCTGCTCTGGATCAGACGGGACCCGCTCCGGTCTGCTCTGGATCAGACGGGACCCGCTCTGGTCTGCTCTGGATCAGACGGGACCCGCTCCGGTCTGCTCTGGACCAGACGAGACCCGCTCTGGTCTGCTCTGGATCAGACGGGATCCGCTCTGGTCTACTCTGGATTAGACGGGACCCGCTGAGGTCTGCTCTGGACCAGACAGGACCCGCTTCAGTCCGCTATGTCGGGCACGGATTCGCCCTACGTGAGCGTGTAGTGATCGTGGCGATCTTGATGAGGAAGCTGGTAACCATGATGTTGTTGACCTCGATGTTGTCTCTCCACGGTTACGTTGGTCCGCTTGACGATCTTGTCCCAATATCCCGAGAGCGACATTTCATAGGCCCAACTTCCTCTGCGCTGCTTCGGAGTCAAGGACTTCGAGAGGGAGACGAATCCCTGTCATAGGGCTCTCACAGAGAGGTCCGCGGCTGATACGTATATTTCGGCAGCATCGTAGCAGCGTCGACTGGCGCCAAGGGTGAGGAGTCGGTGTGCTGAGCAACAAGCGGGACGATTCCGCTGGAGACACGCACGTATGGCACAAGCTCGCGCCGGAACCGAGTACAGCCGGCGTAATTAGCTACCACGTGTTGGCGTGCAGGGCTCTATCTCTGATCCGGTCAGGGAATTAACAAGGTCTTCTCAACAGACTAATATCTGTTCATGCACGTAAGATCACACCACCTACCCTCCAAGCGTAAATCTCATGGGCTATATAAGTGCTCCAAAGACAGCGAACGCACTGCAGCCTTCCCCGTTTAGTCACCTTCCTTCACCGCAATGAATAGCAGTACATAAATACTAGCAGTCCTTGTTTGCACAGGTCACATTACTTGTAACCATTCCCCCCTGACGCAACGAAAAATCCGTAGCTAGATATTTTGTCTGGGCACAGGTGGTAAGAGGTATATAAAGTGTAAGGGATTTCAAAGTCGAGGGGCCAAATACACAGAGTTCAACGCAGAGTTCACAAAAAAACAACATGACAACGGATATCATCTCCCCGCCACAATGGAACAGTTTCAGCGCTTTGATGCGTCCTTAGACACCGACTCGCACCTTCATTCTTGAGCACGGTAGCTACCAGGCGCAGTGACAGATCTCACGGGACACCCATTCCTCTGCGCGATTCGGACCCCTTCGCATCACGCTCCACGTCAGCAAGCTACCACCGGATCGCAAAACGCTACACCCATTCTACACCGCTCATGCGGTCATCTCGATGAACAATCCCAAACACCACGGCTGGATGAACAGCCTGAGAAGTTCCTGTCGCTTCCCAGCCTTCCGCAGCGCGGGGTCCTGACGCTCAGATACAGGAGTCGTCCTCTTCCGCCTTTCAATGCCCCAAATGTCAGGCGCCAGCCGGCAGAACTGACGGGACCGGTCCCCGCCAGCCGGCTGAACTGACGGGACCGGTCCCCGCCAGCCGGCAGAACTGACGGGACCGGTCCTCGCCAACCGGCAGGACTGACGGGACCGGTCCCCGCCAGCCGGCTGAACTGACGGGACCGGTCCCCGGCCAGCCGACAAGACTGACGGGACCGGTCCCCGGCCAGCCGACAAGACTAACGGGACCGGTCCTCCGCCAGCCGCCAGGACTCGTGACGCCTTCCACCGCCGCCGCCAGGACTGCTCCGGGAGGGAGCCGCGGGGCCGGCCGCCGTCGCCGCCTACGCCGCCTTCTTGAGCTGCTTGTGCAGCGTCTCGACGTCGGAGAAGCAGTTGCGGCCCAGCACGACGCTGGCGGCCAGCACGCCGCCGTACAGGCCGCCCGAGAAGCCGCAGCTGAGGATGTCCTGGCCGGTCAGGTACAGACCTGTCGGGCAGGGAGCCGCGTCATGTCAGCAGACTCACACCGGGACAGGCCGGGGCGGGTACAGATGGAAGGTGTGGGCAGGCCGGGGCAGGTGCAGACGGAGGGTGCGGGCAGGCCGGGGCAAGTGCAGACGGAAGGTGTGGGCAGGCCGGGGCAGGTGCAGACGGGTGCGGGCAGGCTGGGGCAGGTGCAGACGGAAGGTGTGGGCAGGCCGGGGCAGGTGCAGGCGGAAGGTGTGCGCAGGCCGGGGCGGGTGCAGACGGAAGGTGTGGGCAGGCCGGGGCGGGTGCAGACGGAAGGTGTGGGCAGGCCGGGGCAGGTGCAGACGGAGGGTGTGGGCAGGCCGAGGCAGGTGCAGACGGCAGGTGTGCGCAGGCCGAAGCGGGTGCAGACGGAAGGTGTGGGCAGGCCGGGGCGGGTGCAGACGGAAGGTGTGGGCAGGCCGGGGCGGGTGCAGACGGAGGGTGTGGGCAGGCCGGGGCAGGTGCAGACGGAGGGTGTGGGCAGGCGTGGCACGTCAGGTCAAGGAAGAAAGTTTTGAAATTTTAAGGTTAAGGAAGGATTCTCAATGCGGCGGATTAGGTAAAGCACATCTGCAGCTTTGGTCATGAAGGTCAGACTCGGTACAGACTGGCAGTGTCCGGCCAGAAAGGTCGGGTCACATCCGGAAGAGAACTGCACGTGGCACATATACGGCGGGCGCTATCCAGACTGTGGGGGAGTGGACCGTGCTTATACTTTCTCATCTCCATTCAGCCTAGCAGAAGGGGACAGTGACCGAACGAAGCCTCTGAAAACCCAACAAGCAAGTTCCTCATGGACGCTCATGTATGACGTCAGACCGCTCGAGGTCACCTTGCAACGGAACACCGCGGCCGCGGCCGCATGCCACGGCGTCATTACCTGGCGCCTGGACACTAACGGCCCCGATGGTTCATGGTACACAGCGTCCGTAACGTGCAGGGTTCATGGCTGAGTCATAGTTCACGGCATCGTAATACAGTCGTTCAGACACGTTTACTGAGTAGACACTTCGTGCCAGGACACAGCTGAATGTCGGGCATCATTTCCGAGCATGTGTTGTCTCGAGCGGAGGAGAGCACAGCGAACGTTTGAAACGTTTTTGAAACCGGGAGGACCCTATTCCGAACACATGTTGTCTCGAGCGGAGGAAAGCATAGCAAACGTTTGACGACGTTTTTAAAACCTAGTTCCCTAAAAACCTAGAATTAAACCCTACTTAAGTTTCAACACCAAATTAACGTAGCACCAGCGAAAGCCAGTTCACAGCGGTTTGTTCCGAGTGGTTTTCGGGCACACAACGGCCGTCGCCGCAGGCATCCAACGGGAAGGGTATGTCTGCATTCTAAGCTATGCAACACTAAGAAGTCAAATACAATGAAACAATGAAGCACAGCAATACCAAATATCACGAAATGATACACAGCTTATGAGTGCAGGTCTGTATTTAACAACACGGGTAAAGACAAGCCGGCAACGACGAACGATAAACGAAAACTTAAAACCTCACACCGACGAAGGTCCTCTCACTGGCAGAGCGTATTTGCACCGCCGAAGGAGAGTGTATCTGTGCATCACTGGTAGCTATAGTCCGTCGACGGCCACGTGACGACAGCGCAGCTGACTAACCGACGATCGGGCCGTGTTCGCGAGCTGGATATCAGCACTCCCATCCTCGCCAGCTCCGGCCTCAACCCCGCACGATGTCTTCACAGACACTCCACGGGAGACGAATCTTTCCCAGTTTTTCTCGGGTGTTCTTATTTGTAGGCCTGAAATATCAATCGATGCTCGCCTCGCGCTACTGGGCGGACAGCCACGGGGCTGCCGCCTCACAGCCGGCGGGCGCGTGCTCTTGTCAGGAAGACTTCTGCTCAGTTGGGGTCGCACGGCCTCGGTGGTTGCCACCGACCACTTATCCCCCCTCCTTCCACGGGGCTGTACCACTGCCGACCGTCCGGGCTCCGCCAAAACACCAGTAGGCGTTTGCCGTCTGACGGGCGGAGCCGCACCCGGCTCCTGCCGCCGCCGGCCGCGGTAACCGTCCCGGCCGCGCGGCCTCCTCGCCACCGCCGCCGCTCACATGCTGCTTTGCCGCGTCATCACCACCACGCCGTTGGGTGACAGGCCGCACTCGTGCAGCGTGCAGGCCGTGTCCCAGAGCATGCGGCGCGGATAGGCGGTCATCAGGCCGTACGGCTCCTGCGGCGCCCGGCCACTGGCCTCGATCCGGCGGCGCAGCTCGGCCACCGTGTTCGACGCGTCCAGGTCCAGCGTCAGGCACGCGTCCTGCGGCGTCCGCACGCGCACCGTGGTCGGCCGCGGCGGCGGCGGAGGCGGCGGCGGCGGAGGCGGAGGCGGCGGCGGCGGCGGAGGGAGAGCGGGAGGGGGCTGAGCCGCAGGTGACGCCGGGGCCGACTCCCCGACGGCCGTCGCCTGCGGCGGTTGCGGTGGCGGCGGCGGCGGCGAGGACGCGCGGCCAGTTAGCAACTCCTCGACAGAGCGGCGGATTTCAATCAGCCTGCCGTCGCGCACCACCGTCTTGGGCAGGCGCGCTAGGAAACGCGACACGGCCTGCGAGGGCGCCGGCAGCGGCGACGGCAGCGGCGCCAGCATCGGCGCCGGCAGCGGCGCGCCGGGACGCGCCTTCGGCGAGGCCGAC